ACACAAACAATACCGCCCTAACTGAGACTTGAAACCGACCATGCGTTATTAACTAGCACGTAATTTGACTCTCCGTGTGTTGGTCGGAGAATAAGAATAGCCCCACTGTAGCCCATGCATGTCGTTAGAGGCCACTAAAATGGGTACCCGGTGTCGGGGTATAGCTGGACCACCCTGCCTTCGGGGGATTTATATACGGAGGTCTGGTCCTCCAGGTTAGGGGTTGGACTTGGGGCTAACACCCCATCCTGTAAAAATTACTTGTTATGAAAGCTCAAAACAAACAAGCCGCACGACGACTAAGCAACCGAAGAAGGGCTAATGATCTACCTATTTTTGATGATGTTGAAATCTCCAAAAAGCCAACATTTCCAGAATGATGTGGGCAAGACATGTGCTCAGAATGAATGATGAAGAGCCCACAAAGAATTTGATGCTAGGAAAACCTGATGGTACAAGAAGACCCAAGTTTCGATGGATTGATGGGTTTGAAAAGGATTTCCATAACATCAGTATTAGAAACTGGAAAGACATCGCCCCTGACCGTTCCCGATGGAGGCGTTGTCTTAAGCAGGCCAAGACCCACCCTGAGTTGTAGCGCCCATGATGATGATGATGACGTAATTTGACAAAGCGTTTCGACTACACACATTGCATGAATGCCACAGAATCATTACTAGATGACAGTTAATTCTGATAGTAACGGTGACAGAAAGAAAATAAGACAAAATCTGTTCCAGCGCAAATATAGCTTCCACAAATCTCATGTGAACTTTATGTCTTGAATTCAAGTTATGCTGTTGGGGACTCTGTGTCCTAGCCACAAGAAATAAAGATCAAATTACGGCTAGTGACTGAATTATAATCTGTGACTCATCGAAGTGCCAGAGAAGTATAAAACTTCGAATCAAAGGTCTTGATTACAGGGATAAAATTTCAGCAAAAGAAAAAGTCTAAAATGTTTCAAACTTAAGAAGGACGAGATTTTGATTTAAAATCGGGGAATTCTTAAACTTTCCATCTCCTGCTTACAATATCATAAATACATACAAAGTTACAATACTGCTGGTTGTTTTGCGATATCCTGTCTCACACATTAAGGAAATAAAATAAACAGGGTAATATCACCTGTTTACACAAGTCATGCCGCCTCCGTCATCAGGGCGATGAATGCGATTCACCGCCCTGAAAACCTCAAATCCTACAGTGTGTGATGAAGCAGGCTGGATTCAACTGGCTCAGGACAGAGTCTAGTAGCAGGCGCTTGCATACACGGTAATCAACTTTGATTCCATAAAAGGCGAGTAATATGGCTAGCTTCCCCAAGGACTGTGTTACAAGTCGCATAAAAGTGATTCGTTCACTGCTCTGGTTCTGCGTGGAGCGCCTGATGTAATGAACGTGAAACAGATTTAAGAATCATTCCAACATTTGTTATCATTACTTGCAATACAGAGCTACTGAAAGGGTTATTAAATTCACCATAAACAAATCAACAAGCCAGCAGATTCCCGTGCCATAAGTGTGCATAACGTAACATCAACACAGATGATAACATATTAACATTAAAGTAACATTATGACTCAGTACTGTACATATATCGATTACTTAATTTAAAGGGATCTATGTCCCTTGTCCCCCATAGAATGAGATATAGATACGTGGAATGGATGAAATTCGATTCAGAGATAAACATGCATGGGTAGAAATCTATTTGAAGACAACTGTTTTCCGTGGATGGGGCGTTAAATCTCTAGGAATGTTGACGGTTCAACAGGCCGCATAGTACCGCAATGTGTTGTGTGCTGTGAGTGACTATCTCTCCTCGGGGCTACGCATGATAGCGAGCGTAGTGCCAAGTGGGGCGAGGTCCAAGTCACACAGCATTCTTTACGACACGGTCGTGGCTTTGCAGACTAAGAACAGTCGTGTTGGCACGCGCTTACACTAACTTGGGGTCGGGGCGTACGAGTGTCAATGTTCCCGACTCTGCTATCCTCTCCACAAACTTTTCACACTTATGAAGAAGAGGATAAAGTTTACGAAGAAACAGTCGTCAGAAACTGATAATTGGAACGTGCAACATCGGCTTCCGGAAAGGAGCCGCATCGAATGTTGAGAATTGGGCAACGTTTCGACAAACACACTAATTGCCATCTTCAGGGTGAATGTGTAGTGGCTGGGACAGCCTTGTGTAGACGAAGCAGTAAGTAGCCACCTAGAAGCTATTCTGAGAGATATTCTTACGAAATGAGTGAAAGCAGACACCGTGAGGAACAGCACAAAAATATAAAGAAGTTCAGTACAAAGAAGATTAGACGCTGATGTTCTTGCATGCGTTCATAAAAGAATGGGAAATGACATACAGTACGTTCAAGACAGCATAAACATATCATAAAGATTGCATTTCCGGTCTCGGGAATAAAATACAGAGTGGAGCAGAAGTTAAAACACATATTAATATGTTTCTTCCTTACGATTTTGCGTTTAATTTCGTTGCAGTTCATACAAATATTTCCACAAGCCTATACAGAAATACTCTTTTACTCTAAGTATCCAAAATGGCTAAGTTCCACGTTTATAAAACTTTGTAACCTGGTATGGCCGGTGTGTACTGACTTTTGCACCACTCTTTATAATCAAACAAGCTCTATGTAACAAAGTCCTTTCGCATTCATTTCGCGTATCTCGGAAGTGCAACTGGTAGTTTGTACGTAAGAAAAATTCTGGTCACCCCCACCAAGCGAAACATTACATGTAATGCACATTTCATTCTCATCGATGGATAATTATATGTCCTATAATCACATTGAAAGGAAATACAGATGCTAAAGATTAATCCACGTGATTGCAAACGCATTCATGATTAGATTCCTCAAAACAATGCTTCAGTTTAAACTATTCAGATCACGGAACATGACCTCCTTCTGTAAGAACAAAGGAAAGTACGTAGTTACAAAGTTTTCCACCTGCCTGTGGCCATGTTGGTTATGGCGGATGGTGTTCGTCCCTTCTTCACATTAAAAGCAGCAGTTTCCTTTGAGTTGTTTGTGGAGTTGCTTGATAGTCCTCTGGCAGGACGTGGCTTCTCTTTGAAAGATATTCGCCTTGCATACGAATGAATAACAAAGCAACGTTCTTACACATCGAAACACATCACTACGCTTGTAACTCTATGCTGATTACAACTGATATTCTGAGCTAGATGATCCATGCGACTTCTCGTGGAACACTGAGAAACTAGACGGAAACACTACAACATCAGCCACCTGTGCAGGTCTGGGTGACACGCCGGATGTAACTGGGCAACACAATTCTGGCTCGTTTTAGCAGGGTTTTCAGCCTTATCTGAGAGATGTGTAATGAATTGTCAATCCACAGCAGACAGAGGTGTTTGAGAAGACAATATTTGACCTAAAAGAGATTAATTAAACAGGACGCTGGAGGAAACTGTTAAGTAGGTTAATAGTTTATACTGTTCACCAAATCAAGGAGGATGAGATATGAGGGGTATGAAACACGTTTCGGAGAGATGAGAAATACCTACAAAAGTTAATTCCGATAACCCGAAAGAAAGAGACGAGTTACGGAAGGAATGAAAAAAGTAATATCTTTCAGAAATGAGGTGCGAAGATTTAGATTGGATTCATATTGCTCAGGTTATGGTCCAAGATCTTGTGGACATTAACCTTCGGGCTCTATAAAATTTCTGGGAATGCCTTGACCAATCCAACGACCATCAGCTTCTCAAGAAGAACTCTTTTCTATGGAGCTGGCATTTGGAAACATACTTATTGGCTTATTCCTTGATTTTAACAGCTCGTGTTTTGTAAGACGTTGTCTGGCAACAAACCGACCTTAAAATGTTGATGTTGACAAGTTTAAATTTGAGAGTCGAGGTTCAGTCCACACCGCGTCATATCGATTCTGTCAAGGTCTCGTGGATATAGTCACTAAGAATTTTGTAGGATGTAGGCGAGAGACTCGCCAATTTAAATTAATCGCCTCCACTAACTGTTTACATGTTTAGTTTAGCCTGCCACTGTATATTATTCCAGACAACTGGAATGAGGTAGGGACCTCCTAATGTTTGTGTTATGTCTGTTAAATACTACATTGGAGTTGATGGGGATATGACAGTCAATACTAACTTTAATAAGTACGGGTAACAATAGATGTCTTGGGTAATGAGCATGTAACCCCATGGTCCAGAATAATTCCAGACCCCATGTAACATTTCGTAATATGCTGATTTTTACGGTGAGGAATTATTCCCCTGGTAACTAGACCGAAAGCTAACTAATCAAGTGGTGCCATTCATATAATTTAATAAATTTCTGGTGGCCAGGCTTGTGTCGATATGAGTCAAAACAACATTCTACAAAATGCTTTCTAACTGAATGCACAACTAACTCGACTCAGTAGAATAATTCCTGAGAAGCTGATAACCCCTCATCTGAACAATAAATGTAACTCCTTTTTATGGCGCCCGAAGAATCATTACAGTGTTCACAAGAGCCCGCAACTAGCCCCTATCTTGAGCGAGATGCATCTGTTACAAACTCTTACACTCAATGTCTTTAATATTCATTTTAATGTTATGATCCCAACAGAGTTAAGACTCCCAAACGGCTTCTTCTTTTCAAATTTACCGATTAAAGTGGGTTATACATTTTGCATGAGTGTTATTGTTGAAGGAATTAATCAGCAGTAGAAACAGTCCATTATATCGAAACATAACCGTTCCTTCTAAGTTATTTCGTTAATTTCAATAGAAGTTGTAAAACTTAAATATTACGCTCAAATTCGTGTCTTAGAAACGTGGTACAGTTTATTTTGTGCACCAACACGAGCCAAAATTAAATTCGCCCCCAATTTTAGTGTGCTTCCTTAATGCCAAATTTAATCGAAATTCGTTGAGTCGGCTACTGCTCTTATGGGTCTGCCACACGCAGACTGACTAAGGACGGACATCATCACTTGATTTCGTGACGTTGCAGGGCCATGGAGCAGGCGCTGGGGCTCATTCTGTTGCTGCTGGCAGCGGTGGAGCCTCTGGGCGGGGTTGAGCAGAGGTTCGCCATGGAACCACAGGACCAAACCGCCATCGTCGGCAGCCGTGTCACCCTACCGTGTCGCGTCATCAACAAGACGGGGGTACTCCAGTGGACCAAGGACGACTTCGGACTGGGTACACACAGGAACCTGTCCGGCTTCGACCGATACTCCATGATTGGGAGTGACGAAGAAGGTCAGTGCGTATTGTAAATTGCATAATCGCATGTCTATACATTTCTTTCGAACTTCTGAAAATTGTTTTTCATGTACTGGACGTTTGGGACGCAACCGTTTACCCTGACACCGACGAAGTATCCGGTACATCAACGTCCTAGGAGGTTAAGATGTCGATGTTGGTCTTGTGGGTTAAAACGCCGCATAGAATTGTGGGTAGATACCAGCATTTCGGAGGAACCTACTATTTTTTCTTCAGGGCTACGAACGTAACCTGCAAGTCCACGCTCCGTTACCACACCGAAGACCAACGCATTGACATCTGAAGATGACCATCCTCTGTAATGTCGTGCCGTGTAATCTGGTACAAATTGATCGACATTTCACAGGTGCGAAAACCTGAAATTTTACTCATGGAGGAGTCTTCCTTCCACTCCCGCCATATGTACTAATAGTATGACGCTTAGCACAGCGGTGTTTCTGCCAGAGAACTCTTAAGTGTCCGGATTTGAACCACGGGCCGACAATTGAATTTCTTGGTCTGTAGACTCCAGACTAGTTGAGGGGCATTGCACAGCAAAATCTGAGAACAGACGAACTCCAAAGTCTCATCTGAAACGCACTAAAGCAGAAGATTCAGTGAGCCGTGTATGTGCGAGGGCAAGGCCAAGGGACCCCCCCCCCCCCCCCCCCCC